GAGCTTATCTCCCTAGGATCCTTAGTGTTGAACTGCACCAGGCATTTGTGCTGTAGATGCGGGCCGGCCAACTCAACAACAAGAATCAGCATGTCTCTCCATGCCTGATGCTCGAACCGTTTAGCATAAGCATCCCTGGCATTGTCTGGGTACTCGTGTAGGTAATGCTCTATTCCTGGGCTGGTGAAATCGCTCATTTTGTCTCTGACGTACCCCAAAAGACGCTCCTGGAGTTTTATAGACTGCTTCTCCGCATCATCGCCGCACTTCTCCCGCAAAGCTGGCAGGAAATCCTTGCGTAGGAGAGGCTTGTTGTTGTCACGCTTGCTGACTCTTGCAGGATCACGGTTTAGCCATTGGCAAACATAGGACATGACAATGCTCATTACCTTCCCCTCCTGCTTTGTGGTCTTAAGGAGGGAGTGGACGTCCGCAAAGCCTAGGTCTGGCGTTGAAAGCACAAATTAATACAGACTATCGTATACGTCGTTGCCAGCTGTCAAGAAAAGGTTTTGCTGTTGGCAGAGGGTAACGTCTTTTTAGTTGTCTAGGTTAGGGTAGAATAGTTGTTGAACATCTGCAGGCTTTTGTACTTGCGGGAGACTTGCCAACTGAATCCAGTCACTAGACTGGACGTTAATGCTGAATTCACTGCGTATTTGAGATATTGAGTTGATTACAGAGTGGAACGTGGTGAACCAGAACTGTTGTACTCTTAGTGCAATTCTAATTGCTCTTAGTAGTATCCACTTACATTGTCAATCCTGCAGCTCGCCATCTATTTAAATGTAGAAATGTTAAATGTTGCCTGGCTAAGCAAGAATTTGCACTATCTTGTAATTATTTGCTTCTAATTCTGATTCCTCTATAGAGTGCCTAGTCGCCTCACTGGAAATTTAACTTAACTACTTAGCCCAAGGTGTTCTAGCATTTGCCGCTCTACCTCTGTCTTTGGGCCCTAGAAAAGTGTATTATCTAAAGATGACAAGGTTGCTAACTCTGTCTATATCTGGCTATAGTTGTTAGGCAGAATTAAATCTTCTTAGTTAGCCTAAAGCTTAGTGCGTAGATGCAGTGGCAGTGCGTCTTGTTTTGTATTAGCTTGCATTAGTTTGCTTGTCTTAGGGGGGGCAGGTTTTAACCTTTGTTGTAAATGTTGCAAATCTACTATTGCTCTTCCTTGCTGCAACCTAAAAGCTGCAGGCGCTTCTTTAGAGCCTCTACTCTATGATTGCCTGCTATAAGTTTGGCCTTCTTTTCTACTACTATATCCTAATCTTTAAATGACGGCCACTTAAACTCCTCTCCCTGCATATCCTCTCTTGCAGCGGCAACCTGTCTATCCTGCGCCTGCTCCTAGCTGAGATGATCTAGCATCTTCTTCACCTGCTTTTTAGTGCACGCTATTCTAAGTTAATGACTTAGGTCCCTTTAAAGAACGCCTTGTTTACTAAATATCTTATAAAGCTGCTGCTTGTGCGCCTTGTTAATAGATTAGTTTCCACTAACAGTCTATTCTAGGGTGAGTGCATTAATTAGGAATTTTGCTGTTGCTAGTTAATACAGTTTTGCTAGCTTATAAACTAACTCTATCTTCTTAAGGGCTACAGCTTTAGACTTAGGCTTTTAACAACACTGCTTCTTCTTTCTCTTACTAGAGGTTAATGGGTTTTAGCGTTTTATTTTGCAATAGGTCTAGTGTTAAATGCAAACAAGAAGATAGCAGGAAGAGAGAAGGCAGAGAGAAGGCAGAGAGGAAGCGTAGGCAGTTATTTGTTTTAGTAAAGCTACTTTAGTTCTTACTCTAAGGGGTAAGGATGCTAGGGGCGGGAAGCTTGTACCCTCTTAGGGCAAGCCTTTTGGACAGAAACCACATGCAAGGACATAGTGGAGAAAGATCTTGCCCCTAGGGGCAAGCCTTTAGTCTAGAGCCTAGCGGCATATAGATGCAGGGCAGGCGGCTCTTGCCCCTAGGGGCAAGCCTTTAAACTAGAGGCTAGAGGCAATGGATTCAGGGCCAGGACTTCTTGCCCCTAGGGGTAAGCCTTAATGGCATATACAATATATACATTCTCGCCCCGGGGGGCAACTTAACCCTATGGCAGTACTACTGTTTCCCACCTAAGTAT